CCCATCCCTCTCCCACTTCCCTAATGACCCAAATCCATTTCCAGTAGTTCCCAAGTATCTTTCTTTCACCAGGATAGCAACTGCTTACTGTACAGAAGTGTCTGTGTACAGTAGGAGCTTCCAGGAAATGCCTAACTAGGAAACAGCTATGAAGACTGAAGTGGTGTTCCAGGAGTGAGACAGAACAAAAAAAAAATAAGGTCCTGCTGAGTTCTTTTCCTCAATCACTGTGTCCTGGTGACAACAGATTCTGAAGACTCCCGGCTGCCAGAATCTACTTGCTAAGAAATCACCCTGAGGTCTGGGGGTCATGCAAAAGGTATTCCCTTCCTGATCTATAGGTTCTTCCAGGGGCAAGGAAAGACACTCCTTTGCCAAGATCCTCAGACGTATGCTGGCTGAAGAGGTGACAAGCTGAATTTTCACTCTAACAGTGGTGTGTGTGGTCCCAGCAGTCTACAGCTCCAGCTGTTACTGCCACAGATGATGAGAGACTCCGTGGTCCCCTCTCAGTGAAAAAGATGCCATAAGACACCTGAAACCATTGGCACACATGCTGAGCTGCCTCCAGCACTGGCTTTCAGAGGGGTCTTCATTTTAAAATGTAAATCAGTGGTTTTTAGCACCTTTTAATAAAGCTGAAGCTGCCACAGGCCCCTCTCTTGGGTGCTCTAAGGGAAGCCTGGGCTCCAGCTGGGACTCCATGTGCCAGGCTCAGAGCATGTTTTCATAGCAAGAAGGCACCCAAGTACGCGCTTATATGAACTATTTTTGAAAAAAAAAGGATTTTTATTATAGTGTTGCTCTTTGGAGCCTGTGAGGGTTTGAGGAAGGTTTATATATTGCTTGGGTGGACCTGGGGGATGCTAACAGCCAGCATCTACTCTGCACCTCAAGTTCTACAACTAGAAAACAAATTTCTTCCTAGGATATTTATGTCAGCTAAGATGCATGGGGGGCAGGGGGCATTGGGAGCACCAGAGGAGTATCCTTTACTTTTAAGATCACATGAGCAGTCACATGGCCAGTTTGCTCACTGATATATTTAACTTTGGGACACCACAAAAGAGAGGAATAGGAGATTACAGGGACATCTGCTGCTTCTCAATCTCCCTGAACAAACTGCACTAGTACTCGCATTGACCGCAAGGACACGTCCAGGGATAAGATAACTCTTGCCAGCTTAAACAGAAGACCCACAGGCATGGTTTTTAGAAAAAAGCAAGTTTGCTGCAGGAAAATAAATAATTAGAAACACTGCACAATATGGCAAAAATCAAATGAACAATTACTGCGTCACAGAACGTGCACATTGAATTCTATTTGATTAACAGTGTTATTTTTCAAAGTAAAGAAAGCTTACAAAGAGCATGCACATGTTTTGAAACTGCTGTAGATGTGTTTAAAACTTCCCACTCTTTTTTTTTTTTTCCTGATGTCTCACTAATTGCATTTAGGCCAAATGTTGGGGAGATTCCTATTCCTTGTTGGAACTGTTTTCCTTAGGGAAAGTAGAGAGCACAACAGGTCTGGAAATGACGGAATACTAAGCTTCTTTGGGATAACACCTATTTTTATTCTAGAGTAGTGGCTGTTTCTTGAAACATACAATAAAAAATATTTGTTTTCCTCTGCTTAAGAGTAATTGGGATGTTTCTGGCCACTCTGAGATTCTGCACTGTTGCACAGAAAGTGATTGTGGAAGACAGAACAGTTGCATCTAGAATCCTTAAGTGGTTCTGCTCCTTCACTTCTTTACAGCACAACCCTGGCACCTGAACAAGTGGATATAGGACTTCTGAAGATAATGACAGAAATAACACTACAGGAGACAAAATGAGGAGACTCTTTTTCCGAGTATCAATACTGGTTTCTAGCAGGAATTCTGTGCATGGGAAAAGGAAATACATTTTGTTTATTAAAACAAGCATTACTTTCATAGAGCACAATAGGCTGAACAGCTATGGAAATCTACTTTCACTAAAAATTATATCTGAGCAGCAATACTTACATTAATTTTAACAGACCAATTACATCATTACACAGAATGTGCCAAAATGCCAGGTCAAACTAAGGTAAATACCTCACATACACCTTGGAAATATATGCTGCCCTGAATTGACAGACTATTTAAAAACTGTAATTCCCTGTCTCCAGAATCTGTTCAATAAAGTGAACTTTTATATTTAGTGATTGTTTCCATTTCAGGCACATTTTTATCAGTCTCAGACTGTAGCAAAATTGTGTAACTGGATTACACTACAGTTGCATTCTTTATGTGCACCCCTAGAAATCAGATGGGAAACAGTCGTGGTTTCAGTAAATTGTTTTCCTCCACAGAAACCTCTCCTGTTGAAGAGGCACCCATCATTGCAACCTGCTGTGCCTTTGCTCCTCCTCATCATGGACCAGTCATGAATCCCAGAGTTACCTGGGCAGGAAGGGACCTTACAGACCATCTCAATCCAACCCCTGCCACAGGCAGGGACACCTTCCACTACACCTGGCTGCTCCAAGCCGTGTCCAACCTGGCCTTGGACACTTCCAGGGATGGGGCAGCCACAGCTTCTCTGGGCAACCTGTGCCAGTGTTTTACCACCCACGCAGAGACAAGAATTTTCCCCAAGATCTAATCTTAATCTCCCATCTTTTCGTTTTCAGCATCCTACCAAATCATCACTATTCAGACTAACTCCTAAAGGTATCAAAAAATCAAGAGATTCCTCACCAACAGGACAAATCAAATTGTAATAAATCAGGAGCTCCTGATTTATCATAGACAAGCTAAATGTCTCTGTGAAAGGCAGTTCAAAACCAAAAGATTGAGCCAGCTAATTAGCAACACTTATCACAAGCATGTTCTTCAGCTGAGCTCCAGCAGACAGTAACTTAAGCATAGTTTTACTGCCCTTCTTCAATTTGTCTCAGTACACTGGTTAGAAGGACCTCATTTACACAGTCAGAAAGCAGTCTTCAGCTCTTTTGGCCAATTCTGTGGTACTGGATATCAATTTTCCTTCTCTGATTGCACCTGTAAGCCCAGGCTCATCCAAGCTGACTTTACTGACAGAGGGCTCATGACCTCTGATGTCATGACCACCATGTTGCTGTGTTTAGCAGGGGAACTCAGAACTCTAAGATGGGAAATATTTTTAAAATTTATTTTATGAAAATTGTAGTTGAGATCATCTTTAAAAAGAGCCAATTTTCCACATGACTTTTAATTTAAAAAAAAATTTTTATAGCATTAACCAAGATTTGGGAGTTATTTTCATATATTGAGGGGAACAGAGAAAGCTATTAGCTAAAACACTTTTTACTATTGAGACAAGAATTGCAATAATATGAAAGTATATCAGAAAGCATTACAAATACTACTGGAAAGAAAAGATAATATTTAGAAAAGGTGGGGTTTTTTCCAAATTTGATCTTATTGTTTTGACTACATTAGAGCACTACGAACTCATATAATTTAGAATAATTCAATTTGCTGTTGCTGGGGGCCTTTCTCACTGCAACTGTGAAGTACATAAAAGTACTGCACTTTCAGTTAAGATAAGAACATAAGAAGGACATGAACTTGGTAATGGGACTGGAGCACCTCCCATATGGAGACAGGATGAGAAAGTCAGGGCTGTTCAGCCTGGAGAAGAGAAGGTTGTGTGGAGACCTCACAGCGCCTTCCAGTGTCTGAAGGGGCTGCAGGGAAGCTGGAGAGGGACTCTGCACCAGGAACTGTAGTGACAGGACAAGGGGGAATGGTTTTAGCTAAAAGAGAGGAAATTTACATTAGATAGCAGAGGAAATCCTTGGCTGTGAGGGCAGTGAGGCCCTGGCACAGGTTGCCCAGAGACACTGGCTGCCCCATCTCTGGAAGTGTTCAAGGCCAGGCTGGATGTGGCTTGAAACAACCTGGTCTAGTGGAAGGTGTCCCTGCCCTTGGCAGGGGGTGGAAATGGATGAGCTTTAAGATTCCTTCCAACCCAAGCCATTTGATTTTTGATGTTTGATTTGATAAGTAAGTTATAAACCTGTCATGCATCAGGATAGCTGCAAAACTTTACTTTTGAACCATTTCAAATTTAATCTCCTTCTGCCTGATTGTCAGAACTTCTATCAGTGAAAGCACTGTAGTTAGTGCTATCTCAAAATACTTTAAAAAACCTCGAAGAACATGCAGATCCAGTGGAACTATCAAACAAGTTTCCTCTGTCTTCAGAAAATGCCGCTCACTAGAATTGCAGAAACAATGAAGAAAAAATTGCTAAAATAAAAAGGCACCTTTACAGAACACATTTCCAGAGGCACAGCTTTACTAGGAAAGCCAATGCTATGTAAAAAGCAATTCACATTTTATTTTAAATTTCCATAAACTGTACAAAAATGTTTCATTCTCACCAAAAATAACAGCAATATTTCCAATCTTACTTCTAGACAAACAACAAACTCTTTATTTAATCTTTCCAGAAGGAGTTTACAAACAAACATACTATAAGATGGATGGTGTCAGAATTGGGGCAGAGCAAACAGATTTAAACATTTGTGGAAAAAAATTTAAGTTTTTAGTGTCCTTTAAGAACTTAAATACTCCTGCAATGCCTGTTAAGCCTAAGAAAAAAGTTTTGTGTCTGACACAAAGGAATGTAAACAGTCATCAAGAGATTAAAGAGGTTGACTCTTCCAACAAAACCATAAACGTACCCCTGTATCACTGACATTCACTTTACACCGAGACCTGTCCACAGCATGGGGATCGTGCAATAGCTGAATCCACTCTCCAAAATGCCACTTAAATGTACATCAAAGACTTTCTTGAAAGTTTGGGTTTTTAAAAAAAAATCCTAAGTAACAGAACTGAAGTAGATTATGCTCTTTTTAATAGTCTGAATTTCTTTCTTATCCTAATTAATCAGTGAATATGTAACAGCCCCATCAGATCTACAATCATAATGTACTTTTTCCACGATGCAATAAAGTAAATGAGCACCTAGTTAAGCCAATCAGATGTAGAAAGCACCTCTGCCAAGAGCATGGGCTTGTGTCAGGCTTGATTTTATTTGCCAAACACATTTAGTATGGACTAATAACACATAATTTAGGTCTTTGACAACAGCTTGTTCAGCCCAAGACCTAAAATGAAAACACAATTGCAGTGATTTGTTAAGATTTCACCGGTTTCTCTCCCCAGCTTTGAAACTTAATTAAGAAGAAGCTGTTTCAATAGATTGGTTAGAGCTTAAAAAGTTAGGCATCATCTGTTGCTTCAGAATTGTTTGAAGGAATACAGTCTTGAAATTCCACTTTGTCTGGATAGAGTTTAATGTAAGTGTCCACCATCAAATCTAAGTCATGTTTTATGTCAAGGTTTATGTTCAGCAAAGCAAGGTTGCTTGACCTTTGCCCTGTCAAGGTGTTTTTTAGGTATGCCTTTAAGCGCTTTCGTCCTAGTCCGTATTTCTCATTCTCCACCTTCATCACTGGAAGTAAGCACAAGACTTTAAGCAATGCATAAACATTAGGGAAAAACTTTATGTCAGGCAAGTGAAGTGCTTCATAAATAGTAGCTGGAAGTTCAATATCTTTTCCTCTGTGCTTCCACTTGATTCTCCAACAGTGAAGCTCAGCAGAAAGTGTGTCTGGATTGGGCAAGTCATTTTTGAACATGTCAGCATGATGCTCCTCAGATGTATTGAATTTGAGCTGTCCCATGACTGAGGGCACTAATGATAAACATTTAAGAGCTTTTAAATGTTGTTCTGAGAAAATATCTTTTAATTCTTGAATAATGTGCTCTATTGTTGGGACACTTAGGATTTCTTTGTAGTAATTTTCTGATGTCATATCAGGGTCGAAGTTCCCCTGTTGTGCCCTGAGAAATTTTCCTGGGAGTTTAATTTGTACATCCAGTTTTGTAGCCAAATTTGTGGCTTCCTCAAACCAAAATTCATGGTAAACTTCAATATTCTCCATCACTTCATTCAGAGAGTGCAATACTGCTGTTAAGCTGCCAGCTGCAAAGAACACATCTGATGTTTGTCCCTGGAGATTTTTTCCAAATGCTCTTGTAAAAGACAGAACATTTTTCATAATTACAATAGTGACAATGAAATCAAAATCTGTTAGTGCACTTGAAAGTACAAATGCTCGACCAACAATGAAGTTGTTCCACCTGACAGAGAAGTCACTGCTCACAGCATCCAAGCACAGTACCAGGGCTTGCAGGAGGTCCACTAATACCTCAAAAGTATCATGCCTGCCTGTCCAGTGAGAACGGCAGATCTTCTTCAACTCATTACCCTTTTCATCATTGTCCTGAAAAAGAGCAGAAATTGTGTTGTCCAGTTCTACTAGTAATTGTGGAGACTGGTTAAAAAGACAGCAAACTTCTTCAATTGTTCCTAATGCAATGGAAACACCAACAACAGGAACAGATTTTGCCAGCCAAACATTTAAGGCACATGAGGAACACAGCGTATACACAGCTTGTGGATACTTTTCCAAGAGTCTTGTAGCCACAACTTTCATTTTAGAAGCAAATCCACTGGAGACAATGTAGGCTTGACCCCGACAGTACTCCATGTTTAGACCCCACTTTTCAGTAATAGTTGTGTGGAACTTAACAGCTAAAATTTCAGGATCAGCCTCATATGGTAAAAACCCTATGAATTCTTCTCTTAGATTGTGAGAATCATCAACGAACCTCACCAGCACTGGCAAATGTTCCTCTCCTGCTATGTCCACTACTTCATCGGTGACAATAGAAAAGAAGTGTGAGTCTCTTACTTCCCTCAGTGTCTCCTCTCTAACACAGTTTTCACAGATCTCAAGCATTTGTTTCTGCTGAGTTTTTGAACAATACTCAAGGTTGACTGCAGTCATCTCAAATCGTTTCCTCAGAACTTCATCGCCACCATTTATTCTATATTCCAGTAGAGCCTGAAAGTTATCTGAAGCAAAAATACCTTCTGGAAGTTCATCAACATTATGGCCATCCAATGGAATATTCTGTTTACCCATTAAGATCAAAATTTCAAATAATGATTTAAGGTAATCTTTGTTTTCTCTTTCTTCCAGTGTTAAGGGGACAGTTTTTTCCTCTTGCTCTTCCCCTCCTTCCTCTGAGACAGTATTTTGTTCATTGTTTTCATTTGATTCTTGAGTTGCTTGTTTCCGTTCAAAAGCATCATCAACTACAAAATGAAAACACTGTAAGTGTCAAAAATAAAATATAACATTTGCTTGCCCATTACCTTTAAGTTACCAGAGTCCAGAGAAGAATGTTTCCAGTTTAAAAGCAAATTAATATTTTGGAAACAATTTAGACTGGCTGGCTGAATCAAGAAGGAACTAAATTATCCTCCTGCTATATATAAACTAATAGTTATGAGTCCTGCATTACCTCATCAGCCTTAGCAAATAAAGCTATTGTCTCAATTATTTTGATCACTTACTCTTTTGCTGCTTCAATGTTCTTATTTCATCTTCACTCTTAAAAAAACAAACAAAAAGAACTTATTTTGATGACAATGTCTAACACATGACCTTAAAATATTAACATATCAAGATCAGATACAAACACTGTAGATGAGATCAGTTAACATTTGCCAAAAAGTGCTGGAAATTCTAACATCAGGAGGTTTCATGAGGTAGTTTACTACAGCCATGACATGTATCTACTAACTACATGAGAACAGTTGTATTAGGAGGTTCTCCAATATGTATAATTATTAGTAAATAGATTCTACTGCTATTTGGTAATGTGCTGCCAGTAGACAGAGCTATCTTTAACTCCATTTTCAGTCAACAGATACAACCAAACTCACAAAGAAGTATTTAGAAATTGTCTGCAATTTTTCAAGTAAAAACAGACATTAGGAGTGGAATTTCTCTTAACTGTCAGTATACTTACAACCATGGAGACACTTTCTCTCCTAAACGACATGCAAGACACAATCCCACAAAAAAAATTTCTCAATCTTGCTTTTATCCATGGATCATTTTTTCACAACAATAAGCTAAAACATGCATGTCTGAATTGATTCAGATTTCAGAAGTTAAGTGGGTGTACCAAAGACCACAATCAACATGCAGGAAGAATTTTGGGATATCAAGCTTCAGTTGTGTTCAGCTGGCACTGTAGTAACAAGGAAAAGGAAACTATACATTTGATTTGGATGAAAGAATCAGCTCTGGAAGGATCAAGGAAAAGGAAACTATACATTTGATTTGGATGAAAGAATCAGCTCTGGACCAACACATTTAATTTTCCAGATTATTTCTTCAAGATTTCCTTAGATAATTTTTTTTCATGCATTTAACTTACAATCAACAAAAAAGATGCAGGAATAGGCAGCATAGAAAATACAAGCACTCAAGTGGCTAAATATTTTTATTTCACATTTTTGTGTAAAAGTTTCACATTACCTTACTTGTCATCTTTTCTTTTAATAATAAACCAGTAATTTTACATTAAAAACTTACCAGCTCTTTTATCCTTTTCCTATGTCTGCTGTGGGGATTGTTCAGGTGACTTGTAAGATCAAATATAGTTGGCACAGCATTATCCCGTAAAACCGTTCTGTATGGGCTCTGTAAGGAAACAGACATCTCAACCAGGAATTTCTTTCAGAAATTTCAGGCACTGTGCCCTTTTTTTTCCTCTCCTTCTTTTCTTGTTTATGTTATTATTCTAAAGCACTTTGACTTTTTGATGTTACCAAAGAGAAAGGTAAACTATGTAATTTACGTTTCAGGGATATCAAGAGAACACTGAAAATAGGAAGACAGATATTACAGAAAACTCCAATCCAAACTGCAAATCCTCTTTTTTATCCCTATTATCTTTATATTAAAGACCCTGGGTGCAATAATTTTAATTTACTGCAATATTATGATTTTGTAAAAAAACAAACATTCTGGATAAAAAGACGGTTATGCATCAGAAAGAAAACATTTTGTTACTATTATGTTTTGGGTTTAATCACTTATTTCACAATTCTAGAAACATTTCATTGTGAAAATGTTCAATTGCTTCTTTTTGTAGAACTATGAAGTCCACCAAGCACTACTGTGAAAGATCATATTGAGGGAAAATTTATCGGTAAAGACTTCTAGATGATCATATAAGTGCTCCCAGTTAAAAAAATATTTAAAGTAAAATGTTGTATTTGGGTATACTGTAAACCTGGGTTGCCTATACTGGCTAATTTCTATTAAGTACAAAATTGTAACTGATGTCATCTTGTCATTAGATAGAAATACATTTCAAACAAACCCAGTTTCATAGTGTTTCCTTTCAGAGTCATAATTACTTCGAATTTTCATCTGTTTCAGGGATGCTGGCTAATTAAAGACCTCATCACATGTAATACCACTAGAACTTCAGAGTTGACCTGCATATTTTAATTATCCTTCACAACTAAAAGATCCATTTTGCTTAGATACCAGAGTAAAATTCAGCCTAGGAATTAAAACTTGATACAAAGTCCCAAGTCCACCCTTTCTTACTCTTATACAAGCTGTTAAAATCATATTGTTGACAAAAAGAACTGAAAGCTATTATTTCATTAACAGAAAACAGTGCCTGGAACAGCTGGATGAAAATGTAACAGGAAATTATAGCTTGACAGATGTGAAGAGTGTTTAAATCTTGTGGCCACAACAGAATGTAATTTAATCAAATCACACCATGTACACACTTCAGGAACAGGACATTAATAAGTTTAAATAATTAGAGATATGCAAAATTACACCCAATAAACTTATAGAATATTGTAATCTCTAGTGAAACGAGGAAAGCACTGCAGTGAAGGACAGTGTTCAACAAGCACATTAAACTGCCAGGAGCACCACTTTTTCTCTCTCCTCTGACTGTTCTTCATCTTCATTATGATTTTCAATGGCTGAGAGCCTGTGTGGAGCCCCAGACAATGGCAGTGATCCCAATTGAGACTAAGAAATTAATTTTCCTAGGGACAATTTACCCAGGAGCTGAAAGATTAAAAAGGCAGCATTCTAGTGAAACATGTCAGTCACATTTTGCAAGGTGTAGTAAACAAATGCTTGTTTTTACTTACACTTCTGCATATCATAGAAGTCTCAAAGTGTTTAGCACACAATCTGTAATGCTTGTTGAGTTGATCTGGAGTTTTATCTTCTAAATCTGCCCTTCGACAGTTCTCTACCCATCTCTGACATCTGCATGTAAGGAGAAGAATTAGATAATCTTAGGATAAAACAAACTCCCTTACAATTTCAAACCATACTCAAAACTGGAGCCCAAGTGAGTGCAAGTGGCCTAGAAAAGCTCGGGAAAGTTCTTTACAACTTCCTTTGGAACATCCCATCAAATTTTTGTAAAAACCACTTTTTCTGCTTTTGCTCACCACTCAACATCACCCCATCAAATTCAGGAGTCTTTTCCCTGAATATATATATCCTTGCCTTTGTCATGCACGCACACATACACAGAGAGCAGACTGTAGTGCAGTTGCTCATGAAACATTAACTATTTAATTCTAAAGAATTTGCTTTTAAAAAGAAAAATTAAAAACCAAAGAGATGTGTTTGTAGTCTAAAGTCATAACATTTTCTAGGCAGTTTTTAAGATAGCTGTCTTTTCCACCTCCCATCAAAATATACAATTCTTCTTATTTATTGTGGTCACTGGGGGAGTTTTGAGTAGATTTTTGAAAGTGAAATAATAACAATAGAAAAGCAACCATTCCACAGACAGTGCTTCCACGCTTGAAGAAAATTCTCCTTGGATATGTATTTTTACATGTATTTACTTTTGCTTTGGATTAGTTCTGCAAGATATACCACAAAGATAAAGAATTATTTCCTTTACTAACAGGACTCCATTTAGGTATGTAAGAGACTGCCTCTTCTGGTGAGTAAACCACTTGCAGTAATTGATGCAAATGCAGTAGTCAGCTTCAACTTCCCCTAACTGGGTACACGCCATCACTCTCTGAGCAACAAAGGTACTTGTTCTGTTGCTAGAAGTTAGAAGAAAGCAATTTCACTACCACTTTTGACTGCAAACATGAAATTATTGTTTCTAGCAGTAAGGAGGAACAAAAACAACTAGTGATTACTGAACAATATAAGAACAAAGGCTGTCTTGTCAGATGTTTTGGTGGGCAGCCCAGATGAGGAAATCACAGGTCTGACTGGATTCACCTCTGCTTTACCTCAGTAAAGGGCAATTGTGCAGATGAAAGAGGGGAAACTTTGATTCTGATCTCTGCTGGTTGAACCAGCAAATCTCAATTTTTTACTCATGCAAAGTATTAAAATAACAGTGACTGCAAATTCCATAAATCAAAACCATTTCTAATATTGCTCTTGGAGATCCATACAGAATATGCTTAGTAACGACTTAAAATAAGGAAAGAAAACAATGTTTTAAATCATCTGATTTTTGGCACAACAGATCTTGCACTTTTGTCTTGGCAGTGCAATCACCCCAAAAAGAGAACAGGGGAGCTTTCTTCACTTAATCAAATTATATAAACACTCTTCTAAAGTGGGAGACCTGTAGTGTGTAAATTATATTGACTCTGGCTCTCGGACTTTCTCAGTGGGTGCCAACTATTAAACAACTCATTAAATGTGGTCACAGAGGCTGATCAGCCTTCTCTGTAGTTAGTGGGGAGGGTTTCAGTCCAGAGAAAGAGCCTGACCCCATGGTCTTACCTGCTTCTCTCAGTGCTTCAGGCAAGCTGACAAACACTGAGAGGGAGCAAAGCCAGAGCTCCTTACATTATGTTAAATCCCTGAATCACCTCCTGGCAACCACAGGAGGCAGGAAATGTGATTTGAGGCAATCAAACTGGTGGCAGGAATGGTGCATTCAGAACTGGCACCAGTTGTCCAGGGCAGGCAAACATCAGCCTGAATTCTTTGCCCTCCCATGTTAATGCCAACCAAAGAACCTAAGTAGGTACCTAGTAAGTACTAAGCAGTACTTAGTAATAGTCAAGGATCAGATCAATGAGTGACAGCAAGAGATACCACCAGCTCTTCAGAGGGAGCTTACTCAAAAATGAGTCTCACACAGATTTCATTAACCACCCAATAGTCCTTTCCTGATGCCTTAAGTTTTAACTTTCATATTATCCAGATTCTGTACTGCATTAGTATGTAACTCTGAACTTCCTATGAAGTGTTAGCAAGCTCTCCTCACAGTTTAGTTGGACAAAATAATCCTTTTCCAGCCCGAGAACCAAGGACACCCATGGAGCTTCAGGCCCAAAACCTATAAACAATAGCAAATTGAGGAGAGCAGTCTGGAGATTGGGACTTCATAACCTGCAGCTGTAATTGGACAATTAACCCTAATATGCAAATGCACCAAAACTTGCAAAAGTGTGAAAATATGTGACCTGTTGTCCAACATGGGCGTAGCCTCGGCCAGGCACTTGTACTGCCAAAGGTGTATCCTTTGAAGGCCTTTTTAATAAATACCTGCTTTATTCCTTTAACTCTGTCTAGCCTCTGTTCTAGGTAGCCTCTCAAGACATCATTCCCTTACAAAGTTCTTCAACAGTTGCACAAAAACTGGCTGTGGCTGCTGCCTTTTGTGCTGAAATAAACACTGTCTGTGATGCCAAATGATTTTTGCCTGTTTTCTTTTATACACTCGTTGTATTCTTACACATATATTCGTAACTTTGTAGCCTATTGTTCTATTTGTAGCTAGTTTTCCCAGTACTTTACCCTACCTTTTCCCTAGGCACATTAACCACCCAATAGTCCTTTCCTGATGCCTTAAGTTTTAACTTTCATATTATCCAGATTCTGTACTGCATTAGTATGTAACTCTGAACTTCCTATGAAGTGTTAGCAAGCTCTCCTCACAGTTTAGTTGGACAAAATAATCCTTTTCCAGCCCGAGAACCAAGGACACCCGTGGAGCTTCAGGCCCAAAACCTATAAACAATAGCAAATTGAGGAGAGCAGTCTGGAGATTGGGACTTCATAACCTGCAGCTGTAATTGGACAATTAACCCTAATATGCAAATGCACCAAAACTTGCAAAAGTGTGAAAATATGTGACCTGTTGTCCAACATGGGCGTAGCCTCGGCCAGGTGCTTGTACTGCCAAAGGTATATCCTTTGAAGGCCTTTTTAATAAATACCTGCTTTATTCCTTTAACTCTGTCTAGCCTCTGTTCTAGGTAGCCTCTCAAGGCATCATTCCCTTACAAAGTTCTTCAACAGTTGCACAAAAACTGGCTGTGGCTGCTGCCTTTTGTGCTGAAATAAACACTGTCTGTGATGCCAAATGATTTTTGCCTGTTTTCTTTTATACACTCGTTGTATTCTTACACATATATTCGTAACTTTGTAGCCTATTGTTCTATTTGTAGCTAGTTTTCCCAGTACTTTACCCTACCTTTTCCCTAGGCAGAAAAAACCCACATTCCAAAGCCCCCTAACCTATCTTGACTCTGTCTGGGAACCAAGGCCAAAAAACAGCTCTTCAAGACACATTTTCACAATCATTTAGTTCCCATCTAAGGAAGGTGGGAGGAGGGCACGGGCAGGATTCAGAAAAGGTTGGACCAAGGAAAATGGCATCACCTCTTATGTCCCTAATTGGTGATTTTTTTCAATTATGCTGAGTTGCTAAACTTTTAAAACTGTATTCACCCCATGGGGGTGGGCATTTTGTGTGTATTTTTCCACATCTGCCCCTGGAGGCCTCCAATGAAGACCAGCCTTTGTGTTGCCTCCTATACTAATATTATCTCTGGGGTATGTTGTTTTATTTCTAGGTTCTTTAAGGCATCACCTGAGCACCTGATCCAAAAGAAGCCCTTGGTGTTCAGAGTTCTGGTTTGAGGATCCCAACTCCATAATCCTAAAGCGGTTTGGGTTAGAAAAGACCTTACAGCCCATCTTGTTCCACCTTCCACTAGACCTGGCTGCTCCAAGTCCCATCCAGCCTGGCCTTGAACACTCCCAGGGATGGAACAGCCACAGCTTGTCTGGGCAACTTGTGCCAGGGCCTCACCACCCTCACAGGGAGGAGTTTCTTCCCAATACCTAATCTAAATTTCCCCCTTTCATATCATGGATCAGACATGGGCACCAAGCTTCACAACCCACTGGAGCAGCATATCAGCAACCAGAGTTCTAGAAATTTAGGAAGCTCTAATGGCAAAGGCTGAAATGTTGATATTCTCTCAGGTAGCTACAGGACTAAAAGGAGATGATAGGTTATATGACTGAACTCAAACCTGAAAACTCCACCTGAGTCTGAATTCAGCCCTTCAGTCTCACTGTGAGTTTGGTTCCAAATAGAACACTCTCTGAGGAATGGAATAACAAAGAAAAAGGAAGTCAGACCCCTGAGATCACCCACTATAGCTCTATAGTAATCAAAGTGACCCCCAAGCAGGGAGAAATGATGAGGAGGACTCCATTGATATCCAAAGGCTAATTAATTACTTTATTATACTATATAATTCTATTCTATATTATATTATATCTAAACTGAATCTGCCAAGAACTCAACTGCACTCAACTCATGAGTGGCTGCTGCCAGTCCCAACACAGACACACGCTCGGTCCTGATAAGCCAAGGAAACAAAACACAATCACTTTGGATAAACAATCTCCACATTGCATTCTATTTTGGCACAACACAGGCACAACAAATGAGATAAGTATTGTTTTTCCTTTCTCTGAGGTACAGAGAACATGAATCCCAGAATATCCTTGGGAATTTGTGCCTTGCTTTTCTCTGTGAAGAGAAATGTGGCTACATTGCGCTGCATGGTATTATCCAAGAAGCAACTGGAAAGATCTTAGAATAAAATTTGTATTAACTTTTATAAAATCTTTCAGTATTCAACTAATGCATACCATATACTGTTGCACAAATCCTTCTGTTGCAATATATTTGGCAGCTACAGATTTAGTTGTAGCTATTTGGGTGGACTGTCAGGGTGTCAAGTTGATGCACCCTGCCAAAAGCAGGTTCTTCAGCAAGTGCACATCAGGTGAAACACTGTTTTTTGTACAAATATGGCATTTTCTGTGGACTAGTACTTGCTTATAATGGTGGTCATTTTGTGTAGCGTTTTTAAGTATATTTATTAAGGCATATTTTAGATATGTACATATATATAGGTAAGAAGATGGTAAATTGCTTTCTCTAGAATACAGAGAATGCTGTTGTCTCAAGAAGAAACGGTGTTATTCATAAATGGCAAGCATGACCTGTGACTCAGTTTAGCAGCATGAAATCTTTTTAATTTTTGAAACAATGTTATTAATTTGGAGGACACAGTTTCATTTTCATCCAGGACAAAGATATGCAAAGTGTCCTGTCTGAGCAGGAAACTGGGGTTTTGCTGCCCAAGACTTTATATAGCCACTTCAGCAAAAAGAAAAGGAAAAAACTTCAGTTAATTTAAAAAAATGTAGATATAAGAAAATGCTTTAAAGTTTTGTTATTGGTCTTCAGGAGGTAGAGCGTTAGGTCCATTAAATATGCAGAGAATGCTGACACCTACTGCAATGGAATAGTAAGGTATAAAACTACCATGTAAATTGATACTTGTAGAATATGTAGAAGATTTGTTACTTCCCACCAAGGCTTATGAAGATTGAAAGATACTACTTGTATGTGCACTGCTTCAGCAAGAAAAGGCCACTGTGCATCTTTTTTTAAGCTTCAGTTGTGCTGTCAGGAAGTAAAATATTTAGGATTTATGTTAACAAGAGGACGAAGATTAGCAGACCCAGGAGAGGTCCAGGCTATGGTAACCAGGCTGTGGTTACTCAACCAGTAACAAATAAAAACCCAATTGCAAGGATTTCTTCAAGATAGAAAGATATGGCAGACTGGATATAGCAGGGGTAAAGTAGTTCAGTAAATCATTGTCAGAGAGTGCTGCTAAGGAAACTTCCCTGTTGGGCCACCCAGGAGCCACCCTGGCAGTCACACTTGCACCCTTTGGCAGCTCTGACAGTCAGACCGCATTTCCTTAGTGGCTTGACCCCAAGTTTCCCATAGCACAATCTCAGTCACATGAATCTTTAAAATAATTGTAATCACGGTGCAGTAACAAAATCACAGCTCGAGATGGTGCGTCCAGGGAGGGAACCCAAACAAGTCCAAGTCCTCTCACCAGTCTAAGTGTGGGAAAGTTGGGTGTTGTTGGCTCCTGCAGCGTCTTGGAGTGTCCATGTGCCTGGCTGTGCCACAGGTACCTGTGTCCTACTGCTGTGCAAAGGGTCAGCAGTGTCCCCTGCCTCTGGCTGCTGCCACCAGAGCTCCATCTGCAGCTGGTGCTGCAGTTGCCCCTGAGCTGCCAGCATTGAATGGATTCCTTAACATTACCAAGATAGAGGATGGGGAGCCTGTGCAATGGGGTTCAGAAACAGAAAAGGCTTTCCAAGCTATAAAAAGAGCTTTACCTTTGGCTCTGGCATTGGGATTGCCAGGTTACTCCAAAGCCTTTTGAACTATTTCTGCATGAGAAGACAGGCTTGTGGAGCTCGTGAAGTCCTTACGCAAAACCTACATCCACAAGACTGCCCCGAGTCTTACTACTCAACTCAACTGGATGCTGTAGCAGCAGGGAATAATTCCTATGTTAAAAGCAATAGCAGCTACTGGAGTTTACCAATATTACTGAACAGGTCTGCCTTGGTCTGCCTGGTCCCTGCTGCTGACCAAATAGCGGCACCTGTGGAGGTTTCTCCCCAGAGACACTATTCTGTACCTGTGGTCACAGCTGGGCACGTGGGGACAAGTCTAGGACAAGCTCCAGTGCTTGTGGACTGGGGCTTGTTGGTAGAAGAGGGTCACTCCTCAGGCCTCCCTGAGCTGGAGAAACCTTTGAGGCAAGGTGAAGGAAGGAGTGGGTCCTGATGGACAGTTTTTAATCCAGAGTTTTTATTTTGGGCCGCATGGCCTCTGAATCCTGCAACAACTCCAACAGAACTCCCATCTCGTGGTGTGCTTGCCCTTTTACCTGGGCAGAGGGGCAGGGGAGTGAACACAGAGAGCACCAACCAGGCACGGGGGGAGGGGGTCTCAGGTGAGAGGGACACCTGGGTGGGCCAATGGCCCCTCAGAGGGTGGAGAGCATCCTCTGAACCTGCCAATCACTCGATGCCCTCTGGCATTTCTGGTGTGATGGACAGTGCCCAGCAGGGGTCAAGGGTGGGGAAAGGAGAGGTGGTGATTGACACCACCCTTCAGGGGAGGGACTGGGAAACTGAGGCACACCATGACAACACACCGCAACATGCAGCAACAGCAATTATCATGAAAAGGAGCAAACTTAGGTCCAAGTCACCCAACAACCATGTATACATGAAATGAACATGATTCTTAAACATGCTTCACAAGCACCATCCCCACAAGAGCATATAGTTGCAAATAAAATATTTTAAATACGCATATTAGTTTGAGATTTTTTTTTTAATCCATAACTTTATTTCCCATTCCCTTCAACGGTGAGCTGCATCATGATGTAGTGTTTCTGCACACTGTAGCTGCTCAGGTAGTGTTTCACTTCAGCCACCTACAGGGAGATAAGGCCTGATCAGTCTCTAGAGAACGTGGATCTAGTCCCATTCTCCAATGGATGCTCATACATGAATGGCAAATGACACACAGGCTACACAGGAACGAGAAACTTAGAGGTGCTTAAAGCAGAACCTCTGCAACCCTTGGTGAATGCCCATGAGGCTGAATTGACTTGCATTAGGAAGAGCAGCCTGGTGGAGATGTAATTAATGAGTGACGGCACTAATTCTAAATCAGCTTTTGGAGGGTGTCATACATCTACACTACTGAAGGAACCATGGTTCCTTTACTTCAGCAGAAAAGAATGTATTTAATGGAACTGAAATACAAGTGCTGGTGGAAGCTACCAAGCTTACAAGAGAAATTACTTTAGTACACTGTCCAGCTCCTACCAGAGGCTCCTGTGAAACAAAGAAATAATAAAATAAACATATTTGCTGTAAGTTTCTAGGTAAGGAAACTGGATACACCATTCTCACATCAAATGAGTAGTGGATGATGTATTTTAACAATTTTATTTTCAGCTTTCCCACTGTAAGCTGTGAAGGGCAAATAACATTTTGGGACAATGCACTTTGCTCACCATCCCAGTCTGACCCACAAAAGTGACAGCAAGCAGTACAAGGAACATATTTTCATTTCCATCCACAGACTACTGTAGACCAACCCATAGAATAAAACACCCTCAAGTCTGTAAACCAAAAGGATGCACAGATTTATCAGTCTCTAAATGCTCTTGGTAAAATAGAATATATGAATATATAGGTTAGATATATGAAGGAAATTTTTTACAGTGAGGGTTTGGAGGCCCTGGCATAGGTTGCCAAGAGAAGCTGAGGCTGCCCCATTCCTGGAAGTGTTCCAAGGGCTGGCTGGGAGCAAGGCAGTCTAATGGAAGGTGTACCTGCCCAGGGCTTGGAATGAGATGAGCTTTAAGGTTCCTTCCAACACAAACCATCCTAGAGTTTATAAAATAGAGTTTTTAAAAATTTAATCTTTAAAATGTAAAGTCACACATTTTTAAGTAACTCTCTGCACTGCTACCATGGAAAACACTCATTCAAAATGTCCTTCCATGAAAAAATTATAAACTGAAGAGGGTATTTTCTTCACACAGTAAACTGCCACCTGCTGACGAATTCTGTACAGCTTGATGTGACTCACATTTTACAGCATGGACTTCTTACAAACTAAGACTGAAGCCCAGACAGTGCCAATTTTCTTCAATTCCACACAAACTGCAGACATTCCTTTGTGTGAGATCTTAAGGGTCTCACAGGACAGATGGTAGAAAGAGACAACAGTAAGAGCAAATCATGAAAATGACAGAATAAGAGTAGGTAAACAAGCACTTCGATTTCAGTTTTTATTAAAGCAAAAGCATATGGAATATGGATTGTATTACAATATCTTGCATGTACTAGACATCAAGAGGTCTGGATAGCCTTTACAGCAAGGCCTTGCATTCATCCAGGAGAACTTCACAATGCATCCAAAATCACAACTTTAGAGAGCATCTACTACCTATATAAGCTTTTTCTATCTTCATTTGAAATTGCTTGGAGGGTCTGTTTCCTTAGAAAATACTACATATGCATAATTCCCATGGGGTTTTGATTTTTCAAAAAATCAGGTCAAGCAGCTTCAAGGAAGGAAGGAAGTAAATATCATGTAAAAATCATGAAAAGGCCAGCCTTAACTACCAGCTGTTAGAAAAGACTAACTGGTATTGCTCTATGTCTGTGCCCCATTCAATGTCGTGAGCATCATGCTAAATCAAGTGATTTTAAGAGTGTTAAGAGCGTCATCTCGATTTAAGGGTGAACCTTTACATGGGGGTTTCTACGTCTAAGTGCGTGATTTATTTTTCACAGTATTTTTCACTGTGTATGTTCACTGTATTTCATAGTATTGTTCACTGTCACTCACACACTTTTTGCTCTACCAGTACACCACCCCTGCTTTTCACCCATTGTGAATTTCTCCCATCACCTCTGCTGCTGGTCATGATGCTCTGCTACCATCCCAGCAATCCTGTGACAGTTCCTCCTCCCCGCTGCAGGAGTGTCCCACTCGCCTGACACACAGAGCAGCACTGACGGACCTTCACTGCCTGTGCCAGCGCTGAGCCTGCCCGGACCCCCCCAGCGCAGGGCTCCCGCACCTCTCACAGCCACACATCCCACCGCACCGCCTCACGCTCGGCCGCACCCTGCCCCCAGGCAGGCAGCCCCGTCCCGCCCAGGTACCCGCATCCCGGAGCGGCTCCGTCCCCACCGCTCCCCCGAGGGCCCGCAGCCGCCGGAGGTGCGGGCGGCCGCCGGCCCGCGGGTGAGGAGGCGCGGGGCAGGCGGCGCGGGCAGCGGGAAGGGAGCCGGCTCTCCGGCACCTCCGCAGACAGGCGGGGCCTGGGGGGGGCGAGCCGGGCGCGCCTCCCGCAGCCCGCCCCTCCCGAGGTGGTCTCACCTGGCGGGGTCGCGGGGGAAGCGGAAGAAGGCCAGGTCGGACTGGGTGCTCTTGCGGGTGCAGTTGGGCGCCGCGCAGAAGTTCGGCATGGCTCTCCCGGCCGGCGCCGCTGCCCCTTTAAATCCGCGGGCCGGCGGGAGGGGGGCGGGGGGGGAGGGCGTGTCGGGGTCCGTGTGTGCGTTATCGTGTGTGTGTTATCGTGTGTGTGTGTGTGTTAACCCCGTGTGTGTAACTGTGTGTGTTACCGTGTGTGTGTTACCCCCCCGTGTGTGTGTGTTAACCCCGTGTGTGTGTGTGTGTGTTACCGTGTGTGTGTGTGTGCGTGTGCTCGTTATCGTGTGTGTGTTAACCCCGTGTGTGTTATCCCCCCGTGTGTGTGTGTTAACCCCATGTGTGTGTGTGTGTTACCGTGTGTGTGTGCTACCCCGTGTGTGTGTTACCCCGTGTGTATTAACCGCGCGTGTCCATCACACCATGTGTGTTAACTGCGTGTCTGTCACACCGTGTGTGCTACCCCATGTGTGTGGCTGTGTTACTCTGTCCAGGCATCACGCCGTGTGCGTGTTTCACCATGTGTGTTACATCATGTGCATGGGCTATGCCATGCATGTGTTACCCCGTGTGTGTGTGTGTGTGTGTGTGTTACGGCCTGTGCGTATTTGTTACTCCATGCGTGTGTTAACTGTGTGTCTGTCACACCGTGTGTGCTACCCCATGTGTGTGGCTGTGTTACACGCCATGTGTGTGTTTCACCATGGGTGTTACATCGTGTGCGTGGGCTATGCCGTGCGTGTGTTACCCCGTGTGTGTGTGTGTGTGTGTTACAGCATGTGTGTATTTGTTACACCGTGTGTGTAATATGCGTGTGTTACCCTGTGTGTGTGTTACAGCATGTGTGTATTTGTTACACCGTGTGTGTAATGCCACGTGTGTTACAGCACATGTGTGTGTTGTGCCGTACATGTGATGCCATGTGCTCATGTTTGACGCCACGTGTGCATGCACATGTTACAGCGTGCATGTGTTACACCGTGGCCACTCCAAACCCAGTGCCGGAGGGGGATCATAACATTTTTCATACAGACAAGCACTTTTCTCTCCTCCACAGCTCTTTCTTCTTCAGTCCAACTTACTCGTGCCAGCCTGGTCTCCCTGCTCTCTCCTGCCACATTATCCCTTTTCCTTCATTCATGTATTTGCAGCCCTACATTGTTTCCCCATGTGACCCCCACTCTCCAAGCCCAGTACCTCCCATTCCCCTGTTAACTCCAGGACTGGTTTCCCCCCTCTCTTTGCTCACAGCTCCTGGTCCCCAGCCGCAGGTCTCCAGCCAGCCTCGTTGTTACAGTTCTGATCATTTGTGACTCAGTTTCCCGTAGTTTCCCTCCCTGAAGAAACTCACAGAGGGGTGAATGGGGCAGGGCAGGGCTGGTGTACCTTCGCCTGGGGCTGCTTCCCATCTGTATACATGCTACACTCTGTCTGCTTTTAAACCAGCAGGGCAGGGCTGGTGTGCCTTCGCCTGGGGCTGCTTCCCATCTGTATATATGCTACACTGTCTGCTTTTAAACCAGCCATAGGGTGGACATCGAGGTTGTAATGGTGTTCTCTTGTCTTATTTTCTTTTGTTTGGCTCTAGGAGGATGTTGTTGCTCAGCAGCCTGATGGATGATCCCACACAGAATCACTGAATCAATTATGTTGGAAAAGACTTCTGCAATCATTGAGTCCAGCCTATGACAGATCATAACCTTGTCAGCTAGACCAGAGCACATCCAGGCTTTCCTTAAACATCTCCAGGGATGGTGACTCTACCACCTCCCTTGGCAGACCCTTCCAATATCCAATATCTAATCACCCTCTCCATGAAAAAAATTCCTCCTAATGTACAACCTAAACTTCCCTGGCACAGCTTAAGACCCTGTCTTCTCATCCTGGGAGAAAAGGCTAATCCCCACCTGGCTAAACCTCCTTTCAGGTAGTTAAAGAAGTAATGGTAAAAGTCACAAGTTTTCAAGTAATGAAATAATTTGGTGGAGGTTGTATTGGTCAGAAGACATTATTAGGTAAAAATGAAACAAATCTTAGAAAATAAACAGGATACAAAAAACTGGGTGGTAGGAAGTGGGTAAAGGCTCCCTCACCAAATATATCCTGTTCAAAAGTAGGTAGAGCACCTGTGAAATTACAAATGCTGATGGCAAGTGAGGATTGTTTCAGGTGTAATACTGCTGTAGTTTTAAGAATTCAGCTGAGATACATCCTTTATGTATCTTCACATAAAAAGTCCTGTCCTGGGCTCTAGGATTCTTTGTTTAGTATGAGCAGGATTAAAACTGTCTTTTACATGAGGCAGTCCTGTCATCAAGTGCTCCTGACCAATCATAATAACTTCTGTTTATTTGGCATTAATTGTTTGCCTGAATTCTACCTTGGCTATGTAGCTGAAGTAGTTTTGAGTAGTCATTTAAGCTAATGCTAAAGATAACTGCTGCACCCCATTGGTTTGACTTTACTTGGCAGTCACCAACATTCATGGACAGTGAAATGTATAAATGAGTTACTCAGATAAGTAATCTTTTTTAAAATAAACTCAGATTTAGTCCAGATAACTGCCATCTGATCTGTGGTGCAGATCATATAAATGTTCCTGCTGACACAAGGAAACACAGAAAAAAAGAGAGCAGGATCATTTTCAATTGTAGTAATAGTATAAGAGCACAATTGCATAATGTTAGAAGGAATTTTAAAACACCGAAAATCTGTTTCAGTAGGAAAAAAATACTTCTTCTCACATTACTAATAAGAAAATTGTATGTTCTGCCCAGTATTGAAAGACCTTTTCTCCTCCAAATTGCCTCACGAAACAGAAGTACTGGCATGCTAAACTCCTTTTTGGGGCTCTGAGCAAGCCAGACCAGAATGGCAGTATTAAAATTAAATTAGCCATTGCACATATTTCTGAGCTGCCACTTCTGACCAAAGTCTCTGTTGATACTGGTTGTATCATTTGAAGCACTATACAAGTATGTTATGGCTGTTACCATCTAGATATGTGTATATTTGCATAGGAGCTATCCTAATGAAATTAAATTAAGGCAAGGACTTGTTTATAAAGTGATCTGAGGTCTGCTGGATGGTGGTTTTTATGTGGAGACTCATTCTTAAGTGCTTTCTACGTAATGGAAAGAAAATAGACTTAATAGTTTTCAAAACCCAGTAGTAATACTAGAAGCACTTTCTTTAAAAATAAAAATTAGTTTACATTACTACTTACTTGGAAATTTCAAAAATTATCTTCTGTTGTAGAGTGCAGAAATCCCTGAAACTGTTCTTCCTGCACAGTAGCCTCTGAAGTGTACATATATATTTTAAATAATCCTCTTGATTATTCAAGTCTTCTTCACAGTATGTTTCCAAGTGTGTCTATATAACATGTAACAGGGATTATATACTGTATTAGTGTTGAACATATAATCTGTATTCTGATAAATTATTCTTAAAGGAATTTTGTGTGTTAGTGTTGCTTTTCTCTGCGTCTTCAAAGCTGTATCTTAAATACAGGATTTTCTTTCACATAATAGTGGGTATAAAATAACTTTTTCTGTTTGCTTCTGGAAATGGACTGTATGTCTCATTCCAAGGTGAAAGTTGATATGCCTTAATTTTCTGAGAGTACTGTTAGTGTGACAATGTACTCCTGCATGTTTCCTGCTATGAAAAATTTATTTGCAAGAGAATATCTAAAGTCTGAAATGCTTCCATGATTCTTTTTACTGCTACATTTGTCTTCCATACAGCCGTGTTGTTGGGCTAACCTGAGTGTAAGACCTAGATGGACATCAGGTTAATCCCACAGAGCTAGTTTTGTAGATTTGTGTCCAGAAGTATCTATTCACAATAACTCTATGAACCCCCAGATTTTTCTGTCCACAGGGTTCACAGAATCACAGAACCACAAGGTTGGAAGACACCTTCAAGATGGAGTCCAACCCAGCCCTGACACCTCAATTAACCCATGGCATCAAGTGCCACATCCAGTCTTTTTTAAACACCTCCAGGGATGGTGACTCCACCACCTCTCTGAGCAGACATTCCAGTACTTTATCACTCTTCCAGTAAAAAACTTTTTCCTAATATCCAACCTATATTTCCCTTTGTGCAGCTTAAGACTGTGTCCTCTCGTTCTGTCAGTTGCTGCCTGGAGAGAGAGACCCACCTGACTACAGCCACCTTTCATGTAGTTGTAGAGAGTGATAAGGTCATCCCTGAGTCTCCTTTTCTCCAGGCTAAACACCCCCAGCTCCCTCAGTCATTCCTCACAGGGTTTGTGTTCCAAGCCCCTCACCAGCCTCGTTCCCTCCCCTGGATGTGCTCAAGTGTCTCAACGTCCTTCCCAAACTGAGGGGCCAGAACTGGACACAGCACTCAAGGTGTGGCGCCAGGGCTGTTGGTAAATGATGGAGAGCGGCTTTGCAGGCTCATCTGCCAGCTCCCTGGGATGGATCTCATCTGGGCCCATGGATTTATGAACATCCAAGTGGCTCGGTTATCTGACTGCCTCCTCCTGGCTAACAGGGGGACCATTCTGCTCCCTGACACCATCTGCCAGCCCAGGAGGACAGTTGTCCTGAGGACAAGCTGTCTTCCCACTAAAGACTGAGGTAAAGATGATGTTAAGCACTTCTGCCTTCTCTTCATCTGCAGTTACTAAGTTTCCTCCTGCACACAGTAGAGAACAGAGGTTGGTCTTACCCTTTTGCCATTAATATATTTGTAGAAACATTTTTCATTATTCTTTACAAAAGTTGCCAAATTAAGTTCAAACTGAGCTTTGGCCTCCCTATTTTTTTTTCCTACATGCCATAGCAACCCCCTTAAATACTTCCTGAGAGACCTGACCCTCCTACCAAAGATGATACATCCTCTTTTTATTCCGAAGTACCTGCTGTTCTGAAGAACTGGGAGGCAAAGGTAGGGAATAACCAAGTCCTGCAAGTGGTGTGTATCAGACCTCTGGGGACAGGTGAATCCAAGCTGAGTAAGCAATACTAATAACCAACATGCAACTTAACTCCCACCCTAAGTTACAGTAATGCAGCATCCTAGCTCCTCCCTTGAGGTTAGCTTTTTGCAAATTAAAGTTAACAATATCTCTGTGATGACATTAAAAGGTTGTCAGACCAAATTTCCATTGCATTTTCCCTATTTCACTGGGATATTTTTTCTTTTTATGGTTCTGATTCAAAGAATGGTGATTTTCATAGGTGTTCTATCAGATCTTCAATATGAGGAAACCCAGACAACCATTGTCTTTGCAGCACTGGACTTTGATGTGACAATCTGCCAAAAAATCATGGTTTAGTGCACAGGCTGTCTGTATTCTTGCCTGTTCTACTTCTTACTCTTTCTACTCAGCTGTGTATTCTGGCCTACAGCTACTTCCCTGCTGCAGAGGGAAAAGTCCATCTAAATTCCAAGCAGCTGCTCTTAGTCCAGGCTTCTGCCTGAGCTGCTGCAGGTTCTGAAGTTGCGGCCAGCGCAGGATCACAGACTCCCCACCCCGTGCTGTGCTGCAGGTATATGGTTACACCACCATGAAGGAGTTAGGAGTGAGAGTCTGACTCCTCTTCTCCCTATTTGCTTGCCCCTGCACAGGGTTGTCTTTATTTGTCTGTACAAGCCTCGCTAATCCCCAGTGCTCACATCAACCAAAGTGCATGGACTTCACCCAAAGTTTCACTGAAAACTGCACAGTGATAATAATGCTAGTTTCTGGTTTGTAAATGCAGCACCAGCTTGCTTTTCTGTTGCTGTTGTCACCCTACAACAATACTGTAAGTTTAAACTTTCATCTGCAAGGTGTTCCAGGATCAATATAATTTCTAATACTTATATTAGGATTATATAATCTTTAATATTCACTTCCTTCCTCAGTATTTATAGCATGCTCAGCCTTGTAAAAATAATTTGTCAAAATCACGAGCAAGTAATTTGTTGGTGAGTTAATTTGAACTTTAAAGCAATAGACGGTCTGTTGATGGTTTAAAAGGGCAACTTGAAAGAGAAAATGCAAGCTTCCCTAAAATACAGTGCAAATTGGCTCCTAGTGTGACTGAATTCTGCTAATTGGTGATCTGGGATATATGTTCTTTGAATGGCAGAAGCTTGTTAGAGACACCCAGCGTTTGTATAACACACATACAAACGTATGTGGCCGTAGATAAGGACTCAAGTGGCTCTGTGGAGCAATAACTTCAATACTTTGCTTCATTCCTGTCCTGAGCAAGCAAATTTATATGTTCTTTGCCAATACAGCAAGCCACAAACAGGATGCAGGTTTTCATCTGCCTCCCAAGATTACAGAGGGTACCAGGTTTAATTCCTTCTTTGATATGTCGCTAAATATCACAAGTGATTTTTTTCATTAGCTGAGGTTATGTTGTTGAGTTTTTGCCTCAGTGTAGCAAAGTGTTTAAATAGATGCTTAACTCAATACACAGTGGCATTTTGATGCATTTTTAATGCTTGCTGAATTAAGATTCTTTCAGCTCAGAAGCTGTTAGGATTTGTGAAACAAAAGCATCTGATGAATAGAATATGTATTACTTACAATAGGGGGGGGAATATCTATTGATTGGCAACACAAAGCTATCTTTAGTAAAAGTAGCTGAAATATCTTTGTGAATTTAAATACAAATAGTCCTAGCTGCCAATCTGTCTGACAAGGCTGTGTATAAAAAGCTCCTCTGCAAGCTGCCAGCACCTAGACATTGTTGAGGCTTCTGCTTTTCTCTTAGCCAGGAGGAAAAATGTGATGGGAAAGTGTTTGAGGAGGAAGAGAGATTAGCAGTGGTCTGAGGGAAGAAGAATGATATTAAAATAGAGATGCTCATGTCAGGAAAATGTATCAAGTCACTGAATAACCCATTAGAATAAGTGGAAACTCCATTGATTAAGCCACTGGGAAACAAAAAAAGGCCAAGAAATAATTTCATTTATATTAGAATCGTATGCAAGACATGGAAGATACTTTAAACTATCCTGAAATTCCCTAAAATTTGAAATTATCTACCAAGTTACATTCATCTTCGTATCAAAAGCATAGTGGATTTTTTTCTACTTCTTTCTCAGCTGCTGGCAGACTAAAAGAAATACATTTTTTCCCTTGATTTTCCAATTATACATTTAAAATTACTAGTGTATATCTCTTGAAAGCTGGAAATTCACTGTTTACCTCATAAAAGCAGCAGCTGCAGTAGCTGTGCCTGGTTTCTATAAAGTATCAAGCTGAAGCACCTCTCTTCTACCCATGAAAAGCTGAAGAAAATGGATTTTTGCAGAGCCTGTATCAATCGGGTTGTAGTGATGCAAGGGGAGATGCAGTTAATAACCCAGTGAGAACTGCAGCCAGGCTGCTCCACTCATTTCCCATGAGCTCCTAAAGAGCTGAGAAGCACAGCTTTGTCCTGGTGACCTGAGCTGCATACAAATCACCTCTCTGGGAAAATCGTAGCTCTTCCTCGGGCCATCTCACAGCTGAGGCTTCCAAGCTTACTTCCTTCTCTCTTCCATTGTCTTTGAGGACAAAAATAAGTGTGGTGAGACAGAATATTCTGTTAGCACCCAAAAAGTGTCATTAATTAGACCAGTGTGTGTTGAAATTCATATTACTTAAGCCAATGGGGAATCTGAAATTGTTGGGTTGTAGAAAACATAACAAAAAGTAGTAGAGATTGATGGCCATTTCTTTCCCTTTCTGAAACGAGGAACAGATTTTGTTTAAATGTGTATAATTGAGCAAATTCTTAAAAAGAATACTCAGTAGCATGCTTTTATAAAATCAACCATGAAATCACAGAGTGGTTTTGGTTGGAAGGGGCCTAAAAGATGTTCTGGTTACAGCTCCTTACCATGGGCAGGGACACCTTCCACAAGACCAGGTTGCTACAAGCCCTTGAACACTTGAACACTTCCAGGGATGGGGCAGCCACAGCTGCTCTGGGCAACCTGTGCCAGGGCCTCTCCACCCTACATATAATACCTAGCTGTTATATATCATTGTCTGTTCTTAGTTTTTAAAATGCATCATAAAAGTGGGAAATGAAGGCACAAGAGAGATCACAACTTGAAGAGTGTTGCTCATCAGGTCACCATCGGATTTCATCATTTGAGTTCTTAGCTCCCCTTGACTGACAAATTAATTTCACCTTGTGGTTTTTTTACATTTTTGAGCTTTGCTTCCTTAGGAAAGAAGACAAAATGCTGCTATCAACAATTCTGTATCTTGTTTTACTTTCTGGACACTCAGAAAGTGCTTTGTAATTTTGGGCCTCCTTAAATGATGACTCAGAGAGCAAGGATGTAGGTAATGAGAAATAAAAAAAATTATTAGTATCTGTGAGGCATCAAAGGCTAAAAAAAAGCCTGGCATTTTCACACTGCATTTTTTTCCTTTACCTACAATGACTTTATTTATTTTATATGAGTTTACTGACCAAATGTGGG